GAGAGCCATTTTATTTCATACTCGAGCTTATGGCAAGTTTCGTTTGGATGAACGGAAGCTGGGGGGGGGGGGGGGGGGGGGATGCCACTGTTTTATGTAACCTCGCCTCACACCTATGGAGGGAAAGGTTGGACTCGAGAGCGGAGATGAGGGAAGAGTATGGAGTCGTTTTCCACCCGTTTCGAGCAAAAAAAAATGCAGAGGAGAAGTTTGGCGTTTACCGGCCAACGTGTGGTATTGTACGTATCTACTGTATCTCGTATCCCCGGTCGATGTGTTGTGAATCAGGCACTCGGTTGTCTCTCTGTCTGGATACATTCCGTTCCAACCGCGTCGCCGTATTATGGCGGTTGTTCTCCGCTGTCTGACGAGCTTCGTGGGGGTGTCTCCTTTATGCCCGCGTTATATTTTCCCTCTTTTGCGCCTGCTTCTTTGCTTTTATAGCGATTCCTCCTGTTTCCCCCTTGCTTTCGTCTTTGACGTCAACAACTCTCTGAACCCCCCCGCGCCCCACACGCCCTGGTGTTGCTTGTGTTTCGCGGCATTGCGGTGACGACGACAACACTAGGCAATCGTGAACGTGATCGGTATGAGCAAGATGAAGCCGCCTATCTCGGAGCTGCTGCCGCGGCTGACCCCCATCCTTAAGAACAGACACGAAAAGGTACGGTACGGTGCGGTGCGGTGCGGTACGGTACGGTACGGTACGGTACGGTACGGTACGGTAGTACAGCAGTACCCCGGTATTTTTTTTGTCTACATACTGTACGTATTTTTTATTTCCGTTCTTTAATTTCTAGAAAGGTACCCCCTGTAGGGGGGTGGTTGACTTGTGACCACGGAAGGCGTCCGCGTTGGTTGGACCAGTGCGGAGATCGGACCTTGCATGGTATGCACTGAGCGGAGATCGGAACGGGCTCTTCTTACTGCGAAGACACAAGAACAAAAAAGACAACAGCTTAGCTTTTCGTGTCCAGTTCGTACTTGTGATGACAGCTTGATGGTTGCGTGCCCGAAGCTTGTTTGGTCAGTTCGACCGTCTTGTTATCGGTACCTGAGTTTCTGGATGTGTTTCGACAAGACTTGGTGTGGCTACATCGCAGACGCCTCCATCCCCACCTTCGTGTCGGTCTTTGACTGCTTACTATGTTCCGCACTGCGTACCCCTTTCGCAACTCACACGCTCTCGTTGTTTTTGTACTGCACGTGTCTTTGTCGGATGTTGTGTTTGTCTCTTTCTCTCTGTCTCTCTCTGTCTCCCTCTCTCTCTCTGCCTCGCTCCGTCTCTTCTCTCTGTCTGTGTGTGTGTCTCTGTCGCTCGTCTATGTACGGCTGTATTCAGGTGCAGGAGAACTGCATCGACCTGGTTGGCCGCATCGCCGACCGCGGGCCCGAGCACGTGAGCGCTCGCGAGTGGATGCGCATCTGCTTCGAGCTCCTGGAGATGCTCAAGGCACACAAGAAGGCTATCCGCAGGGCCGCCGTAAACACGTTCGGGTACATCGCCAAGGCTATCGGGCCGCAAGACGTGCTGCACACTCTCCTTAACAACCTCAAGGTACACCCTCCTTAACAACCTCAAGGTGCACTCTCCTTAACAACCTCAAGGTGCACTCTCCTTAACAACCTCAAGGTACACCCTCCTTAACAACCTCAAGGTGCACTTTCGTGTGTTTGTTCCATGTGGTACGCAGGGGGTCCCTGTGGAGTGGGCTCCCGAGAGCACAGTGTCATCAAGGGAGTGACGTAAGACGGAAAGTACTTCGGATTTAGTGGCAAATAAAAGTCCACAGCTGACGGCCACAGCCAGCCGCCAGTGGTGACGTTGGCCAAGCTCAACAGCTCACCCAGCTGGCGCGTTTTTGACTCGATTAGCCCACCGTCCTTGAACGAACGAAAAAAGAAACATATTTACAAATCTTCATACAGTCTTACGACGCCCATGTATGTTTGTGTGTGCAAACGTCGTTATTTTGTACTAAGCATTGACCCGCGCTTTAAAAGGGCGGGCTGTCAATAGCGAGAAGGCGCCCGGTTTCTTTTCGGAAGACGGACTCCCGTGGAAACTTTTTTTTTTTTTTGCGTGCGAAGGAGCTTGTCGGCTATCCTACCGCGTCCAAGGCATGCTTGCGTGTACACCTGCAGAGAGCGGGGGGGGGCGGGGGGG